GTGATCAAAGAAATTTGCTTATTTATAAATATCAAGCATCTGAGTTTCATAGGAAAATATATCAACTTCATATAGAACTTTGTAATTTTCTCTATTCAAAATATTCAACTCATTATTGTTTACTTATAAATATATACCAGGTTAGCTCCAAAAAGAACTTAAGGAAACTAAAAATCGATTAACTATAGAAATTATTAAACTAGGTAAAATGTTCCAAAATAAAATTTTAAGTGAATAGAGGCCCCTAATATAAAGTGCTATTCAAACTTTTAGAAACCAGAAGAAAGGGTTTCATCATAGTTCAGTTTCATATTTCCAGATGATCCCACTGCGTTTCACATTTCTTTAAAACCAAAGATTCAGGAATGTTGAAGTTGTTGACATACTCTGTATTTGTATAAGTATTAATGAAAAATGAGTAAGAGTAGACATTATCTGAATGTAATCCTTACAAGTTCAGTACTGATGAGCCTCTTACACCTTAGCAGCTATAAATGAAACATGTACAGTGCTACATTGAACCCAAATTATCTATTTCATATTTTGAAAAATATAAAGTATATGAGACATAGGGGGAAAATGGTTCCAACAAACCAATAATGTCATATAATATTAGAAGTGGTCCCTCTTTTATAGAAAGACAGATTGACATAAAATAAACTACACATATTTAAGGCATACAATTTGGAAAATTGGCATGCATACTCTCAAGAAACTGTCATCACAATCAAGATAATAAACAGTAATCACCTACAAGTTTCCCTGTGACTTTGTACAACTTTTTTCCTGCCCTTCCTCAACTGTTTCCAGGCAAACTAATGGCCGTCTCTGTAGTTAAGTTTGCATTTTCTAGAAAACTAGAATCATATGGTATATACTCTTTATTGTCTGGCTTCTATTAGTCAATACAATTATTTTGCAATTCATTCATGTTGTTTACATTAATATAGTTTATTCCTTTCACATAGCCGGGTGGCATTACACTGTATGTGCTACAATTTGTTTATCCATTCATCTGCTGACAGATACTGGATTATTTCCAGATTTGGGCTATTACAAATATATCTGCTACGACCATTCATGTACTAGTCTTTGTGTGGGTATGTGCTTTTACTTCTTGTAGATAAATATTGATGGAGTAGAATGCCTAGTGTGAATGGTAGGTATATGCTCAATGGTTGAAGAAACTGTCAAAACATTTCCCAAAATGTTTGACCATTTTATATTCCCAGAGTATGAAAATTCCAGTTGTTCCACATCATAGCCAACACACGGTATGATCAGGCTTTTTAGTTTTAGCTATTTTAATAAATATTCAGGAGTATCTCCATATGGTTTAGCCTGCATTTCCCTAAATGACAATGATTACAAGCATCTTTTCATTTGCATTTGCCACCTTCATGTCTTTTTTTTAAGTTTTAGAGATACTCTCACTCTGCTACCCAGGCTAGAATGCAGTGGCATGATTATAGCTCACTGCAGCCTTAAACCCCTGGGCTCAAGCAATCCTCCTGCCTCAGCCTCCTGAGTAATTGAAACCACGCCACCACACCCAGTTTCATAACTTCTTTGGTGAAGTGTCTATCTCAATCATTGTCTATGTAAAAAATTGGGTTTTTCTTCTCTCTTGAAATGCCTTTACATATTCTGAATTCAAGATTTTTATTAGATGTATGATTGGCAAATATTTTCTCACAGTCTGTGATTTGTCGTTTAATTATCTTAATGGTGCCTAAGACCATACTTTAATTGGTCTTTGAAAATCCAGTTCATATCAATTTTTACTTTTGGAAATTATTCATTTGGTGTTGCATACACGAAATCTACCCCAAGCATACAAAGATCTTTGTCTTGTCTTCCAGAATTTTTTTTTTTTTTTTTTTTTTTAGTTTTAGGTTTTACATTTAGGTCTATGATCCACTTTGAGTTGATTTTTGTAGATGGTGTGAAGTATGCATCAGGGTTTTTGTTTTTGCATGTGTGTTCCAGCAGAGTTTTTTGAAAAATTTATCCTTTTTCTGGAAAGGATTACCTTTCACGTTTTAAGTTTTGAATTACCTTTACACGTTTGTCAAAATCAGTTGACTATATATGTGTGGGTGTATTTCTGAACTTTATTGTGCTACACTGATCTATGTGACTATGTTCATGCACTTTTGCGTTATCTTAATAGCTATGCAACGAGTCTAGAAATTACAGCGCTGTAATTTCTAGACCTCTACTGTCAGTTTTATTTTCCCAAAGTTGCTTTGGTTATTCTAGGTCCTTTATGTATTTCCAAATTTTAGTATCAGCTTAACAAGTTCTACCAAAAAAAAAGCCTACTGAAATTCTTACTGGGATTTTGCTGAATCTACAATGTGGGGGAAACTGATGCTTAACAATATTGAGCCTTCTAATCTGTGAACATGGTCTCTCTCAAGTTTACTTTCTCAGCACTGTTTCGTAGAAATCAGTGTACAGGTCTTGCATGTATTTTATCAAATTTACACTTAATGATCTCATATTTTTATGCTACTGTATTTTTAGTTTCATTTTCTGATTGTTGCAAGTATACAGAAATGCAATCGACTTCTGTAAATACACATATCCTGTAATGTTATTAAACTTTAATTAGATATTTTCATGTATTCCATTGGATTTTCTATAGTCAAATGTTACCTGTGAGTGGAGGCTTTTAAAAACTTATTCCTTTGTAATCTGGATGTTGTTTCTTTCTCTTTCTTGCTGAATTGCCTCCGCTAGAAATTCTAATAGAATGTTTAATAGAAGAGAAATATACATTCGCTTTGCCTCTGATCTTAGGGAAAAAATCATTCAGTTTTCCAGCATTGTTTATTGTTAGCTGCTGGGGGTTTTTGGATGCCCTTTTCTGGTTGAGGAAGTTCTCTTTTATTCCTACTTTGCTGAGTTTTTTATCAAGAATGAATGTTGGGTTTTATCAAATGCTCTTTCTGCATCTCTTGAGGTGATCACATAATTTTCCTGTTAGTCTGTTTAATATGGTGAATTACAATTGATTTTTAATGTTAGCCCAAATTTGCATTATTGAGATAAACCTCACTTGGTCATATGTATTCTTTTACCCATCACTGAATTCAAACTGCTAAAACTTGTTTAGAATGTTTACATCTGTCTTCATGACAAATATTCTTCTCTAGTTTTCTTGTCATGATGCTGCCTTATTTTGGTATGAGGGTAATGTTGGTCTCAAACACTGAGTTGGAAATTATCCCCTCCTATTTCCTGGAAGCTTTTGTCAAAATTGGGATATTGTCTTCTTTTAATCTTTGAAAGAATTCACCAGTATAGCCATTTAGGTTGGGCATCTTATCAGAAATGTCTACAGAAATTGTGATGTCACTTCTCTCATCCCTGATGTTGGTAATTTTGTCTCTTTTTCTCATTAGTCTAGTAAAAGGTTTATCATTTTTGTTGATCTTAAGGAAACAAAGGCGAAGCAGGGTGGCTCACACATATAATATCAGCACTTTGGGAGGTTGAGGTGGGAGGATCACTTGAGGCCAAGTATGAGACCAGCCTGGGCAACACAGTGAAACGCTGCCTGTATAAAAATTAAAAAAAAAAAAAAAAGTTTTTAATTGCACTGATTTCAACTGATTTTGTTTACTCTTCCATTGATCTCTTTATTCTCTTTTTTTAATTTTGAGGTTCATCTGCTATTATTTTTGTAACTTCTTAAGGTGGATGCAGTGTTGGGCATAGTGTCATGTGCCTATCGTCACAGCTTCTTGGAAGGCTGAGGTGGAAGGATCACTTGAACCCAGGAGTTCAAGGCTAAAGGTAGCTATGATATGATCACTTCAACCTAGGCAACAGAGTGAAATTCCTGTCTCCTTAAAAGAAAAAAAAAAAGTGGAAGCTGATATCTGAGATCTAACCTGAGATCTTTCCTTTTTTAACATATACATTTAATGCTATAAATTCCCCTGTAAGTACTGTTCTGATTCCTACAAATTTTGATATTTTCTGTTTTCATTTGCATTCTGTTCACTATAAAGTGGGTTTCTTATATTCAGAACAGTTGGATTTAAAAAAAGCAAGACTCAACTGATTATAAAGGATAACCGACAATTTACATTTAATTATTGATATAGCTATTTAAATCTACTATCTTAGTGTTTATTTTCTATCTGTCCCATTGACTCTTTGTTCCTCTTTCAGATTTGTTTATGACTTCATTTTATCACCTTTACTGGCTTACTAGTTATTTAATCACTGATTTTCTTTTTGTGGTTGCTTTAGGTCTTCTAATACACATTCTTATCAGTTTACTCTCAGGGAATGTTATACTGCTTCACGGTCAGTATAAGAACTTTAGAGCAGTATACTTTCGTTACCATCATCTCAATCTTGGTACTGTCATACATTTCACTTTATGTATGTTAACCACACAATATCCTATTATTATTATTTTGCTTTAAATAATTTATTGTCTTTTAAATAAATTTAAAATAGAAAAATAACTTTTATATTTACTCACATATTTACCACTTTTGGTGTTCTTCATTCCTTTGTATTGTTGCAGATTTCTATTTGGTATAATTTCCTTCTAAAGGCATTTTTTAAATCATTTCCTGTGGTGGGAGTCTGCTTGTGACAAACTCTTTTAGCTTTTCTAAGTCTGAAAAAGTTATTTCATTTTTGTTTTTGAAAAATATTTTCACGAGGTATAGAATTCTAAATAGAGCTTTTCTTTTAGTAAAGATGTTGCTCCAGTGTCTGACATTCTTCTCTCTGTCCTATGTCTTTTTTCTTTAGCTACTTAAAAAAAAATTCTCCCTTGTTGCTGGTTTTAAGTAATCTGATAATGATATGCCTTGGCATAGTTTTCTTATTTCTTGTGTTTGGGGTTCGTTGAGTTTCTCTCAAGGATTAATATCTGATAATTGTTTCACATATTTTCTTTTTTAATTTCAGGTGGGAAGGTAAATCTCTCATGTCATTTTGGCCAACAATGAAATTTCAATTTCATGTTCCCTATTTTCCGCATCTAAAATTTTATTTTTTATACTTACTTAGCTTTTAAATTCCATGACAAACATGTTTCATCTGTACACATAATTACTAAAATTATTTTATCCCACCTCTTTTAATAGACATTATGCACATTTATTTTTCAAAAAAAGCAATAGGAAAATATTAATAGATTTAAATACATCATGTAGGCAAAACACACTAACATTTATGTCTTCTAAACCTGTTAGATAGTGATATACAAGTAAACTTGTTACAAGTCATAATGCTTTCATAATCTGTCAGGAAAAGATCACATTAACACCCCTATATGCTTCAGTACAAATGTATTCTATAAACCACACTGGGTAAAAGTAATATTCCTGTTTTTATTTTTGGAAGTGATTATTAGTAAGTTTATGCTTATTAAATATATCCTTGAAAATTTCCATCACTTCAGAAACCCATAAAGTTAGTAACCTAAAGTTTTTATCTTTTTTTTTAAATTTTAGTACATACTTTCATCTCAGAAGTCAAAATGGGGCAGGAGAGCTATACAAAGGTACATAGTTTAAATCTTTGAGACAAGAGACAAGAAGGTAAACAAGTCAGTAGCCCTCCCAAGCTTCACTTAATCTAAAATTGTAGATCACGGTAGGTAGATGTATACATCTGTCTATTGCCAAAGAGGTATAAATTATTCTGACAACCTTTCTAAATAATTTTGTGGTAAGGCCAGTAATATAAAAATATTACACACAGTACAGAAAGAATTCAAGTTAATGATAAAGACCACAAAATAAAATAAACCATACTTCTTACTTGGAAAAACAAAATAGCAATAATACTATAATATTTAGTGTCTAATATGAAATCTCCACTCATTATAAGTTGTCATGTTGACTGAAATTTTACAGTACAATGTTGCATATTACTAATGAGATAATCAGCAGATAGATAGCTCTTGTCGAGTCCTATGAATCTTAAACATTTTTTATAGGTAAAGACATCTAAAAAATACCACCCAGGAATAAAGATTTGTCAGAAGTACAATATAGTAACATAAATGCAAAAGATATCATGTAATTTGTGCAATTCAAAATTCCAAAAATTGTCTTATCAAATGTACAATAAATAATAGTCATACTTGACTTCATCAAGTTAACAAATAATTACTAGCCAACCCTATGCTTTATTAATCAGTGGCTTAGAAACACCAATTGCCATTTTAAAATTACTTTCTCCATAAAAATAGAAGGTATATCAAAGTCTTTAAATCTCAACTAGCCCCAAAAATTTGAAAGGCAATTTGTCAATAAAAAATATATGTTAAAAAAAAAAGATGGCTAAAAAATAAACATAACCAATATTTATGCACAATTTTCTTCTCTTAAAAAGGGCACTTAGTGGATGGCTAAAGCTTTCAAAAAAATAAAGATCCTGTTGACTTTCCTATTGGGTAGATGACATACTGTACAATTTTTAATATAAAAATATACATATTTTTAAGATGAAACAGTGGTTGGTATAAAATCCCATCACACTTTTACTTGAAAATTTTTTTTTCCCTGGAAGCCATGAAAACAATACTGATTCTATGTAGTTCCGTGTTGCCTGAAACTTCCCAAATTATAGAACATTAAGATATTCACTGAAACTTCAAAAGTGGGCTCGTAGTCTTTTGTTTTCTTCTCGTAGTCTTTCAATTTCAGCCACTAAACCTTCATTCACTGAGTATCTTTCCAGCAAAGAATGCATTTCATTCTAGAAAAAGGGGAAAATGCTTTTTAAATTATTGATATTTCACATTTATTTGGCAAGCTATGTTTAATATACTTTCAGCTATCATTTCTCTCATGTTCAATTAACTAGGTGAATGATACTTCTTGTACTTAACAACTTACTACTTTGTGAATATAAATGGAAGATCGCTGGTGAAATTAATGTATTTGGAAAATCTGTATTTGCATATTTAAGATGCTTTTTTGCTTACTTATCAGGAAGAAAGCCATGGAAAGAAGAAGCCTTAAGTACTTCAGAGGTTAAGAAGGAGGTGACCAGTTAAAATCTATTTTACTTATTTAATTTCTAAAACTACCTATTTACTTATCTTAGAAACTAAATAAAACAACTAAAATATATTACCTTTAATGAATTTTTAAAAATTCACACAACTCTACTTTCATTTAAAATATTAAAATAAAATTTGCCATACATACCAGTTGCATATGAAACTGTTTAATCATCTCCACTTGCAAATTCACAATGTCCCTATGGCATGCTTCTCTAGGAAGAATGGAAAATACTTTTTAGAATTACAATAGTTTAACCAATTCTAGGTCATTCAAGAAACTCACTAAACGTTTTCATTTGCCAAATTACTGAACGTTAATAATTATTATAATAATAAAAATATCAATGCACTGAGCATTAATTTCCTATGTGCTAGGCACTGTTTCTTTTACTTTAAATGTAAGAACTCATTTAAAATATCTTCACAAGTAGGTGCAATTACTACCTCTATTTTACAAAATAAATAACCACAGAGTAGTTATAACTTGTTCAAAGTCACACAACCAGTAAATGATGAAGCTAGGATGTAAACCCAGGCTGTTTACCTCCAGAACTCTCCGATACTATATTCTTTTATATAGAAATTGTCATTAAGACACAAACTTATCTTACAATGAAATACAGAAAATTCACTAGGTTAGAAAGATCATTTTATTATTATCAGTTTAGCTATTGAAAAAATATACTTTCAGTAGAAAGTGGCAATTTGGGTGGTTATAGCATGGTTTACTCAATAAAAAGGAATTCATATCTACAAAAGAATATATAAAAATTATGAAGTATAATAACAAAAGAAACACTCAGTCACCCACCACACAACTTATGAACTAAACGTTATCAAATCATAGAAGCTTCCTGTGTGTTCCTGTCTGATTCTGTCACTTAACTCTTGGGGAAAAGCCCAAGCAAGAAGTCATTACTCTCCTGAATTTTGTTGGACAAAGAAATGCTTTTGCTTTTTTAATACATTTGTATAACATATAATCTGTAGTCAATGTTTTCATTGTGCATGTTTTTGAGCATGTAAGCATTACAAAGAAAGGGTACCATATAGCTTATATTTAAGAAAGAATTCAATATCGTTTTGAAGATTCATGTTTTATATATCCATAAATCAGTGGTTTGTACTGGTGTATCTATTTTCCTGTTAATATTTTGATTGTTTTCAAGGTTTTACTATTACAATGTTGTTATAAACAATCATGTATTATCTCCCAACTCACATGTGCCAATGTCCATTGATGATATAACCGAGTGTAACTCAAATGTATACTCAGTTTTACAAAATCATGCAAATTGTTTTCCAAAGGTAGTGTCAATGGATGTCACCAGAATAACAGAGTTCTTCTTGCTCTATATCATCATCAAGACTTAGTATTACCAGATTTTTTATATTTTCCCATTTACTGGGTGTGACATGATATCTCATTGCATTTTTAGTTCTCTAATTATGAAGTTGAATTATCTTTCCTGTGTTCATATACCATTCCTCTTCCTTGAAATGCTTTTTCATATCTTTTTCTTATTCATTTGTAAGCGTTCTTTACATAATCTGATCCTTTGTTATTTATATGAGAACTGCAGATATCTTATCCCTTCACTCTGTGACATTGTGTGATAAATAGTTCTTATTAATGTGCTCAAATACACTAACCTAATAATGCAGCCAAATTTATCAATGTATTTTTATAGGCAGTGCATTATTTTATTTTTAATGATTTCCTACCATGAAGTTATAAACTTTTATAATGTCAACTTTTAATCTACATGGAACTGATTTTTCTCAATAGCATGGAATAAGGATCTATACTTATTTTTTACAGGAAAAACAGATGTCACAACACAACTTATTGATTATTCCATATTTTGCACATAAATCTGCAATGCTACCTCTCTATCATTTCTATATATGCATAGATTTCCTTCCAGCTTATTTCATTCCTTTGGCCAATATGTCCTCCCTGTGCCATGCTATATATCTTAATTACATTTTAGTAATTAAGTGTATTCATCTGACAAATAAGTCCCCTTCAGCCTTATTCTTCTCTGAAGTGTTATTCCTAGATTTTTTTTCCTTCCATACATATTTTGGAATCACTTCATCATCTTCTTCCAAATCCCAGCTGGGATTTTAATTGGAATTGCATTCAATCTACTGACCTTATTTAGGTGAACTAGTATCTTTATGAAATCTCTCCATTTATTTAAATATTAATGCTTTTGAACAAAAAAAAATTTTAAATGTTTTTCTATAAAAATCTTCACTACCATTGGTAGATTTATTCCCAGGTAACTTATTGCTTTTCTGTTGTAACTACGAAGGTATTCTTAAAAATTTCCTCTTCTACTTTCAATTATAGTAAAAACTGTATTAAAAACAAACAAAAACACTGTATCAGGGAACCACCAAGGTGGCCAGGACTTGAAGGGCCATGATCTTGCAAAGGAAAGACTACCAGGTAAGCTCTACATTTACCTCTGTTTTTCCTTCTAGATTACGTGCTGATTCCACAGTGTGGAGAAGAAACTGAGCTGAGGCAGTGGCATGGAGGTTGAGATAGTCTCGCTGGGTGGGGGAGTATTAAGAGTTTGGGCCTACCAAGGTAGTCAATGCTGTAACAGCCAAGGTCTTGAAGAGGGGAGGCCCGCAGAAAAGTAAGCCTGAAACTGCAATTTCCCCTTACGACATCTGTTGACTTCTAAGCAATGCTTGCACTGGGTTAGATGGCAGGAATCCAACCATAAAACAAGCAACTAAAGAGCAGAGAAAGTATCTGGAAGCCTCGTGATGCTGGCAAAACAGAGGCTGAAGTCTGGGACCCACCAAGGTGAAAAAGACAGTGAATACTCCAGAGGTTCAGCTGATGCCTAGAAGAGAAGACTACACACTAGGAATAAAGGCAAACTGGAAATAAACCAGTGCTAAGAAAACCTGAAACCTACTAACTACAGGATCAAAGGGATCTGCTTGCCAAAAGAAACTTAAATATTCTTAATAGACAACAGAAACAGACGCAGAGATTTCCACTTAGGATGTATTAGGTTGGTGCAAAAGTTTAATTTCCCAACTCTAACAACAAAAACAAACCTGATAACCTATAAAATCATATTATTTTAATTTCAACTGAGAGCTGAGAATGGAAAGAAATCTAAATGAACTAAAATCCAGAAAATGAGGAGTTCCTCCTAGGAGAAAACAGACCCATGACTAGGAGAAAAGAGACCCAGCTTCATGCCCTCGACAGAGTAAAAAGAACTACCTGAATTTTTGGTAAGATTTTTAAAAGCCAAGTTAACACTGCTTGATAGTTTAGAATTCCAAGGGGTCCCAGACACAAAGAAAGTCTGAATTTACTCACCAACTTTTTCCCACAAGCCTTTATTCAGCACTCATGTAAAAAAAGTAGGGACAGGTGTAACAGGAGGGGCGAGGGACTCCCTAAGATACAGATGCATAGAGCCTGGTGAAGCCTTACGGCGGTAGAGAAAAACTGAGAGTAATCCCTCTAAGGCTCTCCAGGCTCTTATGGAGAAGATGGCAACCACGCCATACTGCTCAGGGAGGATGGCTGAGAAAGAGGCCCTCAATACCCTCTCTGTCCTGCCAATGATAGGTGTAGATGAACACCTAGTCTGATGAACACCTAGGCGAAGAGCAAAACAAGTGAATTTACAGAAATCCTCCGAGCCACTCTAAGTCCTCAGTGAGTCTCAGGCAGAGGCTGCCTATGGTCATAGGGCAGAAGAGCTGAGAGAAGTCCCTACCCACCACCCCTAGGTGCAGACATGCAGCACAGGGCAGCAGAACCAAGAGGCACTGGAGACCTTCACCCAACATGCTGCGGCAGCTCTGCAGGCCTGGAAGCGGGACAGACACACTTCTCCTGAGGCACAGAAAGCTAGGAACAGACCAGAAAGTGAAAAACCACCTCCGGCCACCCCAAAAGCTGACAGCAGGGCAGTAATACACAGCCATTTCAGAGTTGCTCCAGCACTCAGATCCCTGGGTCTGCTGAAGGAAAGGCCCTGAGCCCACTGTCCTCAAATCATCTGAAGCCAGTGGAGAACTGACACCCAAATGCTTGTTGAATAAATGGATAATAAACAGACAGCACCCATTACTCCTGTGCTTAAAAACTCTGATGGCTCTCCATTACCTGTGTGTTAAGACCTTGACAACTGTTTTTTAGGCCTCGTCTCTTACCACGGTGCCTTCTCTCTGCAAACATTCCTAGAATGTACGATCATGTCTCTGCTCAAGCTGTTCCCACACGTCAGTATAAAATAAAATCTCTTCAGTGTACCTTTCTAAATCTGCCCCCGCAGAAGAACTGCCCCCTTTCTGTGATTTCAACATCACTTTGCTCACACTGTATTGTAGTCAGTTGTGTCTAGACAGTTCTACTATTGTGCCATAAATATTTATGCATTCCTGAAAAAAACGTTATTCTCTAACACTGTGTATTAAAAATAACAGAACTTAGGGAAAAAGGATTGGCAAAGCACTCAAAAACCTATGTATGCAACTTTGTAACCAGAGCACAACAAAAACAATTAAATCCTAATAAAAATACTAACATAGTTAAAAAGACATAGTAAAAATCTAATAGATAATTATTGAATAAACCCTTACTGTGAAGAAGTGATGGTCACTTAATGGAAGAGAATAGAAGGATTGGGGCTATCCAGTTACAGCTGTGTTCATGTGTACTTTATTTTGGCTGCTATTACATGAACAAACAAAATTTCCTCATCATATTGTCAACACTGTTCTATTTTACTGATCCCAAATGAATTAATTCACATTAAGAGAAACACACATAGCAGAACACACTGCACCGAGTCCAACTAAATCATAAGGCCTTTGTGGGCAGATCATTCATTTTTGTATCCTTAGTATCTGGTACATATACTAGGCTGGGTAAATGCTAAAGTTATAATTTTTCTTTAAAAAGTATTTTTCAACATTTAACAATATATTTTACAAGTATTTTTAAACATTAAAAGGAAGCATGCACCAACAAAAACTGCACATTGTCTCCAACATTCTTGCTTACAGTAATGCAAATCTGAGCTAGAACATTAACTATCGGTTAGAAAGGAAAAAAGGCACCAATGATTTTAATAATTGAAGACAGCTTCCAAAAATATCGAGATGATAAAAGAAAGCAGCACTGCAGAACACATTCTTACAATGTTCACAATTCGAAGGATGAGAAAGACAAGGACAAGTCTGAGAAAGAATTTTTTTTTAGATTAAGTATTACATTCGAATGCATTCTATTGGAAAATATTCAGAATTGCTCTTTAAAATATCTTTTTCTACTACATTATTGCACACAGCATACCTAATAGATGATCTCTATGAACATACTGCAGGTAAGAACCCAATTTAAGCTTACCAGAACTTGTCCACATTTTAATAATAAAAAAAGTTCACAATGGCAGTCTGCCTACTAGACTGCCCTGCTGAGTTATCTAATAATTGCCCTAGGTAAATGTGCATTTTCCTGGCTCATAATCAATAAACGCAGTATGAAAAGATCAACAAAACTCATCATGTTTTCTATGGCTTTACGGTTACCAAAACCCAGACAACAGTAACCAATAACATTATCTATAGTTCTGGTTTTACATCTAGAAAAAAATAAGTAAGGTCTAGATAGAAGGAGTAGTTTCTCAATTACTACCTAAAGTCATCCAACGTTTCCTGTATCATGTTCTGAATGAAACGAATTTGAATGGAAGTCAATGGTGCATTTTGCCGGTTATTTCCAATGGTATCGGCTATTTTTTCTGAGAGTGAACTGGCAACTCCAGCAGTGACAGAGGATGCTATCTTTGGATCTAAAATAAAGAATGAAGAAAATATTAATAGTCAACTTGGACTGAGAGACATCAAACATTTCTAAATAAGATTTGGCATGTGAAAACTTGAAAAACTGGCAAAGAAGAGTGTTCCTGTGACATTTAGAAAAATTCACTGTCTGGAATACAAATCTTAGAAACTTTCTATAACATTATTTCTAATAGTCATTCATCTATATATATAAACTGCCAGCTGTCTAATGTAATACCACATGACAGAGGGATTAATCTTGAAGAATCTACGAACCATTTCCTCTTATAAAAGATGAATGTGACAAGCTGCACCACAAACTAGATAAACCAAGACTATTAAAAACAAACAGAAGGAAAACAGGAGTAAAGTACTGCTACAGGAAAAGCCTTTGAGTTTAAGCTAACGCAATATCTATCCACAGAAACCTTCAAGTAAAATATAGATATTTATATAAAAGTTGATTCTAAACAAAGAGTTGCTTTGTGTAGATAACTCAGAGTTAAACCAAATATTCCTTTAAATGTGATCAAGTCTGTATGGGTCTGTAGCACAAACTCTAAGGATAAGACTTGAATATGAAAGAGAAAAAGACATTTTCAGGTAGTTAACCACCCCTTTTCAAAGGGTCCTACATAATAATTCTATCTCTACCATATTAAATAAATACACGTTACACTGAAAATCTAATTCACACCAAAAGATCAAATCAATGTACCTGAATTTAACTATTCATATCCATTTCATTGTCTTTAGTAAGACTCACACTATAAAAGTGTGCATAAACTTTAAACTCTTTGAACATTTTTAGTCTATGAGCACTCTATTTCTCCTTTACAAGTTAAACAATTGGGATGATTTTTCAATTAAACACTTTCAAACATCAGAAGGTTCATGTACGTACTTGGAGTTGAGGATCTATTGATTGGGGGTTCACATATCAACTGGGCTTCAATTTCATTCTCTGGCTTTTCAAATTTCTCAGAATTTCTTGTTTGGTTAGATGATGGAGAGGTATTTAGGTTTCCACTTTCAGCACCAGATGTGACCAACTTTGCTAACTTTATATTTAAAATAAACAATGACTTTAATATACAATTTTTTGTTTTACTCATATTACCCATATAATTTTTGCCTACTTCTCTCTTTCATCCCAGTATGTAGGTTCAGGGAATTAAAGGAAAATAGGAAGGGATATAGAATAAGAAAAAAAATATGAGAACTAGAGGCAAAATAAAGTAACATTTACTAATCAAAAACAATCTCAACAATAACATGATGAGGAAAAGCTCATTTACTAAACATGCTGTTGAGTACCATTTAAAATAGAGATACTGGCAAAAAAAAACAAAAACAAAAAAACAACCATTCATGTGGTAACTAGTCAATAATATTTGTAAAATAAAAGATGTTTTTGTACTTCTTACATGGTATCTTTTCAGTATCATTCTCAACAATAAATATGAAAATACAGACATATTGTACACCTAACTGGCTTGGCCTTCCTGGCAATTTTTGATCATCCTGAACCCTTACATAAGAAATTAAATTATATATTATACACTATATTTTAGCAGAAAGTAACAATGATAAATTCCATTCTTAGCACCATCAGTTTGCTCTAATGATTTAACCACCAACTTGATGTTGTACACTGCAATGAAATACACTTTAAAAGGATTCAGGGATAAAGTGTTCTTGCACACTTCATCAAGCTATATCAAGTATCTCATCTTAGAAAAATAGTGCAACTTTCCATCTGCTGTAATTTTCAACATATCCAAAGCGAGATTTCAAAGTATTCTGTAGTTATTAAAAACTGGCATCAAGACTTAAGAATAAGTGCACAGCACTGTTAATAATTAGGATACATACACTGGCAGCCACCCGCTTTCTACTGATAAACATATAGAGTGAGTTCGGTATCATTTTCAGGCAAATACCTGTTTGAAGGAGTCTTTAGATTCCTGTTTTCCCATATATATTTTCTTAGACTCAGCTGTCAGATCATGATTTTCACTTTCCTCTTTCCCTGGAGATCCCATAAAGACATTAAGAGGACTAGAATGCAATAGTGAAGTACTTGAAGTTACTGGATTCTTTCTTGGAGGAAACACTGAGTTCAACTGCGGTAGAAAGTCAAAGCCTAGAAAAGAAAAGGAAAAAACTGCATGTGCACATGGTGTCCTCCAACCTTGGACACTGAAGAGAAGCATTTAATATGATAGGCAGATTAACATGGGAGAAGATATAGATCTGCATTCTGAAGATTGGTTTGTTTCTCAGATACACCCCATAATTGATGTGTATTCTTGGGCAAAAGTCTTAAACTTTCTGTGACTATTTCCCGATCTGCAAATGTGAATGATGATATCCATCTCCCAGAGTGGTAAGGCTTCAAAGATATTATTTGTGAAAATACTTTGAAAACAGCAAAACACAATGTTTTAGTCAGTATTAGTTCTTGATAACTGAAAATTGTTAATTTGGTATATATCTGTGGTACGTATCTTGGAAGGCAATTTCTGAGATGGCTTCTAATGACCTCTGCCTTTGGCGTCCCCATCCTTCGGTAATCTCCTCCCTTTGACCATGGCTTGGACCTAGTAACTTGCTTCTAACGAAAGTAATATGAAAAAGTGGTGAGATGTCACTTCCAAGATTAAGGTTATTAACATATTCTTAAGAAAGGGCTTCCATTTTGGATGCCTTCTCGAATTCTCTTGCTCACCGGCTCTGAGGTAAGCCAGCTGCCATGTTGTCGGCTGCCCCATATATAGAGAAACTCATGGGCATGGAACTGATATCTCCAGCCAACAGCCATAGGAATGAGCATGGAAACAGTTCCCTGCCCAGTTGAGCCTTAAGCTGAATGAAGCTCTGGTTGACATCCTGACTGAAGCAGGAAGATAGACTTGAAGGCAAAGGTACTCAGCCAAGTTATGCTCTGTTCTTAAAACACAGGAATTATGAGATAATACATGTTTGTTTTTTTAAGCCTCAAAGTGTTAGAGTGATTTGTTACACAGCATAGATAATACAATATCACTTTTCATTTTCACGAAAATACATCTAAGTAGTTCTTACCATCTCCTTTGCCTATGGACTCATCACTTCCCTTGTTAACTACAGCATCTATAACAAAATTAGAAAATCAAAATTTAAAACTAGTGAAAGAGAAACCATATCAATTTAGGCTTCCTATTCATTCCCCAAAGAGTTCAAAGACTAACAATCTTAAAAAGCTAAATATGAGTGAGGTTAAAGGTAGGAGAGTACTGATTTAAATTTCTCTTTTACATTCTTTTAGCTTCATTCATACTTTAGCAGCAAATATGAACAGATAATTCTATAGTACAGTCATTTAACGAGGCAGCAAGGTATAGTGTAATAAGCCCTGGGGTAGGTTATGGAGAGCTATAATCCAGTTCTGCCTATACCACTTAATAGCTTTGTGACCTCGGACAAGTCTCAAATGCAATTAAGTTTCAGTTTCTGCATCTATAAAATGGGGATAACATCCTGGTAAGCTCAGAAAATTGCTTTGAGGATCAACTGAAATAATACAAAAATATTTTGCAAAGCAGAACAATGTTATAAGAAACAAAGTTTTATTAGTGTTTATTTCAATGGTAGAATATGTATAAGACTATTTTAATCCTGTAATATTCATTTGCCAGTCCATAACAAAAATTGTAAAATTCAACTTTAACAGGTTAATAAAAAATGAGCAAAAGTCATTAACAAATTCACCAGAAATTCAAATGGCCAATAAACACACAATTATATCAGGAGAAATATCATCTATGTGCATGTGTGTATATGTACCCAGTAATTGCACAGCATGTACATGCACACTTTTAGAAGTTATTAGCTTCCTTATCAATACTATGGAACCATAATGAATCTGGAGGGCATATGACTCAAATGCTAATAACATTTTTAAACATAGCAAAAGTAATTAAAGAAAAAAGTAATTTATTCATTTGTCTTAAAAACTATTAAAGAGAACTTAATTTATAACTCAAACACTTCCCAAAAGCCCCTTTGTACATTCTTCAATGCAAAAGTTGCTCCAGAGGAGTCCCACTGGCCAAAACTCCGAACTCAGCACTAACCCCAGAAACCTTTCTCAACTCCAGCACTAGTCACTTTTCTCTCCATTCACATCCGTCCTCTCTTTACCCTTTACTATGTAGTTTCATTTCTCTTCACTCTTTATGTAGTTTGACTTCTCTTCATCATGAAAGAAAAGAATCCTTCCTCTTTCAGTTTGACTTAGTAATTTAAATAGAAATTTGCAGGCCAGGGTAAGGCAGAAGATCCTCAATAATTTTGTACCATCATGTATGTATTTATTCCTTCTGACTATAAAATTGTAGAAAATTTGGAAAAGAAACAATTTTAAAGTAAAAAATGAAATTGTGTAAGATAATGAGTGGATGAAACAACTTCGAGATCCTGCTGTTGACACGGTACACTTATAATAAATACACCAATCTTTGTGGGCTTCTCAGTATTTTCTGAGATAAATTTGTAGAAATGGAATTACAAGGTCAAAAAGTATGAATATATTAACTCTGTCATCCATGTTATTGATAATATTGCTATTAGCAATGAGATAATTCCATTCCACTAAGAAAAACATTATGGATGTTAGTACCAAAAAGACACACCTAAATAATGTACTTAGTTCAGACACTATGAAGAATAACATATATCATCCTTCTATTTATCCAGCTGGCAAAATTTGCTTTTTATTATGGCAACTTTTTTTATGGGATGGGGGGAGGTATATACCTATACACACACAATTTTTTAAATTAGGAAGACTTTTTTGCATATCAAAACATCCAAAATTTTAGGAACATTAATTTAGAAGTAGATACAAGGGACAGATTGCCTATGAAGGTAAAAACTTCCTTCAAGGAACTTTGTGAATATTAAAATGCTAACTTGAGAGCTATTTGCATAACTCCCATGTGAAAATTACCAGCATATATTTTAGAATGATAACATTTAAAATATCAGGACAAAGAAAAAGATACCACCCCAGGGATGGAGAAAATGAGCAAACTGATCCATGAATAGAGTTGGACTGAAGCTATTATTCACATCTTTTAGCCAGAATAAAAATACTGACTACCTGCAAGGGAACAGGATCCTGTGAACAGACTTACCATCTCTAATAGGTGAGAACATGTCACCTAAACTACTTTTCCCAGTATCATCAAGGCTGGAGAAATCCTGATTTTTTCCACTGTCTGTTTCCTTAGATAAAGCGTCTGTGTTTATGCTTCGAGGCAAACCTTATAGGAATTAGATATAAAAATCAATGTTATTACATCTAAATAAATTTTATCATCAGGAGCTAGGTTGTAAAAATCAATGCATCACTCATATTGTTGGTAATATTACAACTATGAGCATAAGGAGAATAAAACAGAATATGACAAGAGCTAAAGTTAACCAGGATTTTCATGGAACAATAAAACAGAATATGACAAGAGCTAAAGTTAACCAGGATTTTCATGGAACAAAAGGTTCCTCAATAGAAAACAGCTTATTTGTTCATACAGCAATACCTTATTTTAGCCATTTTGTTGGAATTTTTCTAAAATAATTTATATCCTTTGCTGCTTTCTTAAAGTACACTGAACACAACTTACTTTTGCTATTAACTGACTCTTATGATCATCTACAAATGTGATTTTTTTCTTTTCAGTCTCTAAGGCATATAGAGCGATGTCTAACATACCGCGGGATTCAATTAATGTTACTTTTCTTCCCTGACTTGCAATGAAGGGGTTTTCCGCCTTCTCTTTCACGAACAGTGGGAGTTTAACATTGCCCTCAGCATTACAGATCTCAAATGACTTCACTAACCTCCGTAGTTTCAAAGAGGAAGCAAACCAGAACACCAAACTCATAAAGAATAGTATGGTAGACAACAATAAAGAAGACGGCAGCAGTGTATTTTTTCTGGCAGTATATAAACGCATGGCTTTAGGGTAGAGACCTTTTAAGAGGAGCTCAGCAGGCTCAGTAGCTTCTGTTTCATTACTGGAGTAAGGACAAAGTTTTAGAGCTTCAAAAATTTTGATTAAAGTCTGCCATCGGGATTGGTAGCACGTTATTGCATTACGTTTTAAAAAATGCTTTATTTGGCATCTCGGGCCCAAATGAAAAACTGAAAAGTCTGAGATGAAAACAAAAAACAGACTGCATATTCAAAAATGCCCAAGACTGGCTAACAAACTTGTCTAGTAACAACTGCTATAAAGTTAAAATATTACCAAATCATTTGTACTATTGTTGAAGAGTGTCTATAGCAATAGTTCAGTTGTTATAAGGAAGAAATTTCCTCTCCTTTTTTCTAGGTCCTTAACATGTTTGAATGCCTAACTCCAGCCTCTGAAACTTTAGGAAACAGAAGTTTGGTATCATTTGAAAACTGCTAAAGTTTTATTCTTTTCTTTTTAAATGATGATTTCCTTCTAAAACTGAGTACCAACAGCAAGTTTAGAGAAGTTCTTTGGAATAACTAAATCTGGACAACTTCAATAGAAGCAACAGAAATTTTTTCTAAACTTTAATTTTAATCAAAGCTTAAAATAGTAATAGTGATGATCATGATGACCACAATGGTAGTATCAACACCATAATGTACTGAGCGCCTACCATGTGCCAAGTACTTCCAATACATTTTCTCTGATTTTCATAATAACCCTAAAAGTTAAATATCATCTTAAATGTGTGCAGGAAAAAAATGAGACTCAGAAAGGTTAAGAAAATTGCCTAAAGGCATCCTGGCTGGAAGTGACGGATCAGAGACTGAGTCTACTATTCTCAATGTTTCAGAGGCAAAGAAAAATGTGTGTGTGTGTGAGTGAGAGAGAGAATGAGAGAATGAGAGAAAGAAAAAGAGAGAGGAAGAGAAAAAGAATGATGAAGCAAATGTGGCAAAATTTATAAAGTGCATCTGCCAAAGGGTAATGCTCATGAGTTGTCTGTACTATTCTTAAAACTTTTCTGTAAGATGACAATCATTTCAAAATACAATCAATACACAAGCATTGTTAACTTTGTGGGGGCAGAGCACTCACTCGCTTTGCCAGAAATTTTGCGAATCTACCAAGAGTTATCATTAATCCATGATCCTGAAAGATCCAAGTCTTTGATTTCCAAATTAATGCTGTCTTTGTTAAACAAGAGCCTTCTTATTATAAAACTAAATGAATAATGGAGAGACTTCAGAGAGTTTATAGTGAATGACGGAATCTTTATTTTAATTTTTGAAAATTATGAAAAAAGTTAATTTTGTAAGATAATGGCAATTTTCATAATTAGTTAATTCAACATGTTGGCAGACATTACTCAAAGTTATATTTCAAAAATAATTTCTTCTTTAACTAGATATGAATTATCTTTGTCTCCAGGAGTTCCTAAATAGGAATCTAATTATTTTTCTAATATATAATGGCTCTTATATAAGGATGATATAGATATTCACAGGAAATTTATAGTGAACATACTTACTTTAAAATACTACTCTACACTATCAAGATCAACAAAATAAAGTTTTGCTTCTACTTGGAAATAGCAAAATCGTGCTACAAAAACACCAATAAATATTTTTGCCCAAGTATTTATCCTGAAAAATTTAAAAGACATCAATATATGCATTTCTACTGAGCACAGTATTTTGGAAACATACTAGTATACCATGTAGACTTTTTAAAGTATTTGCTGCACATTGACAGTATAGCATAACTTCTTAAAATAAAAATGAAAAGGTTTTCAGGAATTTACAGAATATTTTCTTTAATGTGAGCAAGAAATATTTTCTACAATAAGTATGGGAAAGCTTATCATATAACACGTCAATAAAGTTTAAATGAATCCTGTTTCAGAACTGTTTCATCAATTATATCAGAGAAGAAATCATTAAAAATTGCAACATTCTCATTTATTTTTATTTAACAAATTACGAATATACTGCTTAATATGTGCCCGGCACTATTTAGTACTTTAAAATACTCGTTTCATCACTTGACTTACTTTTCATTCTAAAATGTGAAATAAAAAGAGCCATTAATAGCTTTTTTTTTTTTTTAATGAAGAGATCGAATGATAAGACAGTGTCAAAGTTTCATATTCTCTACTGGTTAATCTGAAGACACAATGAAAAGCCATTCAGTATGTAGTAGGATTAAGGATGAATAATTTCTGAGTTAGCCTTCTTCCATTTTTAAGATAATATTTCTCACAAGAGAAGTTTAGCTAAATAGGGGCCTTTTAACATTTTTGAAATTAACAGCTAAAGTTACTATTTTCACTTCTTCAATGATTTTCACTTCTACTAATTTTACCTAAATACTCAAAGAAATTTGAATTCTAGGTTCTTGAAGAATGTGCAAATTATATGTAAGCCAAAAAACAAAAAACAAAAACAAAAAAACCCTCCAACAATATATAAGCAATATTTACCTGCTTTTTCTTGAACAGCAACTGTTCCTTTCCCCACAGCTGACGTCATAGGCTGTGGTAGAACTGTGGCAATGGACGTGGCGGGTGCTTCTCTGACAATTCCGGAATTCTGAACTCCTCCACTAGCAGCGTTCACATTAACACTTCGTTTGTTCACTGTTGTGGGCTTATTTGAACAGCCTTTATTTAAACTTGACTGAAATGTAATGGAATATTTAAAAGCTCAGGTTACTAATGTTTCATACTATACATTAATATTTTATAAATTCCCTGTTAGATTAAAAAATGAATTTTTTTCCTTGCAAATCTTAAGCTTGCTGGCAGATCTGAGTTTCCCTCTAAATCAAAATGTCATTTAAAATACTTTTAAAGAGAGAAATATATAAGAATAAAAAAAAGAAAAAAAAAGTTTTAAACTAAATATCAAATGGCTTTGTACTAAATTATATAGTATTACATGTAAAATCATTATGTAATTATGAAACAAAACTATACTGTGTTTGACAATATATAATTTCCATATTCTGAGTTAGATTTATTTAATAAAATCAAAAATGCTGAAATGAAAATGTCTCACCTTAGTAAGAACAGTGGAGTACTGAAATGCTATACATTGCACAGATGTCTTGTGAGCACTGATGGTCTTAACTGGTGATTTCAACATTCTTAAATCATATTGATATATTTTCCCCCGGGAAGATCCAATAGCCAAAGTGGCTCCATCAGGCATGAAATCTACTGCAGTTAGAGGAGTGTCAGCCACTAAAGTTTTCACCAGCCTATGGGAAGGAGAACAAAGTATGTGTAGTATGTTATTGTGTACGGGTATATTAGCTTATATAAGTAACTATACCAAAACCAGAGTTAACACTTCAAACTGATCAAAGAGCACACATTTCCCAAATATTTGTTTAAAGCATAATTTCAGAATTTGACTTAGAGACATTTCTAATAAAATGGCATGCAGAGAACTGCCAAACATTCCATCTTACTTTTCTATTCATTTCCAATAAGTACATTCCGCATCTTACAGAAGCAGCACCTACTTCTTTAATTATTATTCTGAGAGTGAATGTAGCAGAACTGTCTATTACGCCACAAACAGGGGCTCTGCCCTCAGGGTTGAGGAGGACCTAAGTATCCATACTTTCCATTATTGACCTGCTTAGGCCTCTCAGGGTTGAGGAGGACCTAAGTATCCATACTTTCCATTATTGACCTGCTTAGGCCTCATGAGGACTATGACCTTTCACAGGGGTGCAGCTGTTACTTTGTTCTTAGTTGTGCAGTTTTGACCAAAAAGCTAAGAGGAACACAGTTCACATGCTTGATCCTTAGGAAACTAATAAAGAAATATGGATGGTGATCTGCTGAAGCTGAGCTCTTTACTGGTGTGTCTAGTATAAGAGAATAATGGCTTACTGGGCTCTCAGCAAATTGTTCCATAAAAGAAGACAGCAAATAAGTCCTAACAGTAAAAATTCTAGCATCATAATAAAGGCTGACAGTGGGACCTTCCCTTGTAGTATCATTCATACTCCACATGATCTACAGACAGTGTTAAGCATCTTGAATACAACTGTATCACTCTTGCATTCTTTTTTGTTTCTTTTAGCCAACTAAGCATACCTAAATTTAACAAGAAGAGGGTACAGTGGGCCCGAATGCTTAGAAGATTATGTACACCAGTACACAATCAGTATTTCTTAACTGGGAGCAACCAGGGGACATCTGGCAATGTCTGGACACCATTTAGGCTATTGGTATTTAGTAAGCAGAGGCCAGGGATGCTGATGAATATCCTACAACACCCAGGACAGCCCCTCACAACAAAGAATTACCCAGCCAAAAATGTCAATGGTTTCTAAACCTTCCTCTAGATAATTAATCAGTTTTAAAGCAAATTAATCATTTGGGTTAAAAACATATGCATTTTATCATATTTTGAAAAAGATGCTACAATTAAAATGTGAAATCATTAAGATGTCATCTCTCTATTTTCATGTTTCAGAAGTACTCTAAATACTACCTGCAATCCATCTATTTTTTTCTGATTGAAAAGAAAATTCTTTCTTACTAGATTCATCAACAGTACAAACTTTAGGACCCCTGGACGTTAGTCAGAGGTCTATACAAATCACAAATATGCCTGTTAGTGGAATAATAGCTATTTGTTACTAAATTTAAAAACAAGCACGTCACACTTACTTCTTACTTGAAGTGTCATAGAGGATGATTCTTTTATCCAAGCCTATGGTTACAAAGAGCAATTCATTGACAGGAGAAAAACAGATGCCTGAAGCTGGAGCTTTGTGTACACTGTCAAAGTTATGGTATGGATTCTGACTATTTACATCCCAGAGAGTTACTATTCCATTATCCGAAACACTGCCCAGTAGTGATTTCTTAAACAAGGAGTACTTCAACTGCCGAACAGACTACAAAAATGAAAGAATAAATTTTATGTAATTATAAGCATTCACAAGGATGTTTTATATAAGCCATATAAATTATGGCCAACCACACTATTCACATGGGGTTTAGGATTTCTCTGATGTGTAAGAGTGACAGGTTTCAGCCAGGCATGGTGGCTCACGCCTGTAATTCCAGCACTTCAGGAGGCTGAAGCAGGTGGATCATCAGAGGTCAGGAGTTCAAGACCAGCCTGGCCAACCTAGTGAAACCCTATCTTTACTAAAAATACAAAAATTAGCTGGGCATAGTGGCAGGCACCTGTAATCCCAGCTACTCAGGAGGCTGAGGCAGAGGCGGCGGAGGTTGTAGTGAGCCAAGATCACGCCATTGTACTCCAGTCTGGGCGACAGAGTGAGACGCTGTCTTAACAAAACAAAACAAACAAAAACAAACAAACAAACAAACAACTCTGTCTTAAAAAAAAAAAGAAAAAAAGAGTAACAAACTTCAATCATGACAACCACAGTGTCATTCAGTGGACCATAAGATGACATACCAATAACTGAAACATACCAATCAATAGTCTATTAATATTCACCATTTTATTATCTTGGAGTATAGCTACCTCAATCTTCCCCTTTCAGAGGAAAAATATAATACATTGAGATTATCTACATGAATTCATCAGGGTTAGAACATTCACCATATATAAAAGGCCTAGTCACAGTCAAATCATGAACAAGTAAAAGGGAATACTGGGAGAAAAAAAAAGCAATAATATTTTGTATTTGTTTTTTATATCTTAGATATTTTGATGCATTCGTTTGAATCTGAGCATCTGATGCACTGACAATTCAACACTTGAAGCATAATTTAAAAAAAAAATTAAACCACAAAGGAAAAACTGGCAACACTCTAGACTGGGGATGGACTATATCCACTGTTTCCAAACCATCAGCTTGAGGGCAATGCTGGCCTTTCTCTAAACACAAATCCCTGTGGGTAGTGGAGATATTCTCTCTTCTTAGTTTCTATGGACCAGAATAAACAAAGATTTAGTTTGAATAAACTGATCTTAGATTAAAACTAACTGAATTTTATCTACTTTTCTTTTTTATTAAAATGTTACTCTCAAACTTGTATTGATGTTGTCATTTACTAGGCTGAGAATTAAGTACTTTACATTTAAGCTATTTTTTTCCCTACAAATTTATATTCTACTTAACTCTAAAATGTCTAAAATAATATATATTAGATCTCAATAACAAAAAAAAATTGTCTAGGAAATGCAGACTTTTTTTTTCTAAGAAAAAAAAAAGGAGTATTAGTCACCTGGCACCTAAGTTAAGACAATTAATATGTTAACCCATTAAATATGGCTCATTTTCAATGGCTAAAGTACAAAGAGAAAATGTTGGTTTACATAGTTTTTATTTTTGTTGGGAAACAGTATATCCAACTTGAATAGTCAAATCTTTTCTCTGGTCTATATTCAAGAAAAATAAACTACATGAATGTTAACTATATAAAAGACACAGAGATCCTTAGTACATTATGTTAATGATTACAGAGTCATACACAACATATCAAAATATAAGGCAAAACATGATTTCTAAAAAGATTTCTACAGCACTTTAGGAGTTCATATAGTTATGGTCCTTCACATGATCTAAATTTAGACTAAATATACAAGTAGAATTTTTAAAAACACCATAAAAATCATAGACCTGGTAGATTCTCAAAGTTCAAAAAGTTTAACCTTTTAGCAACAGCAGGAATTTTCCTAAAACATCCTTAAAACATGGTCATCCAGAATCTGCTTGCAGGTAGCAAGGAACAAGAAGTTTACCACTGTCTATAATACAACTTGATAACCAGTTAAAAACATATTCTTGATCAAGACAAAAAAAAAAGAAAAGGCTAAAGATAATGATAAATGTTCCTTTCAGATAAACCTAAGTTCAGTGAACGCTCAGCAAACCTCTGTATGATTTAAGTGAATTACTTAAACTCTCCAAAACTCAGTGTTGTCATTTACATAACAGAAAACACTCTTGTTTTCCTGTCACAATTATTTTAAGGATTAAATAGCATTTCTGTAAAGAATCAGGTACACAGCAGCTGTCACCACCATTTTCAGAAGTTCATAACTTACTTGCTCATCACTGCTTATGTACCCACCATTCAAACATCTTTTACATATATTTTTAAAGACCCTTAAGTAACCACACTGAATTCTTTAAATGCCTCCAATTATTTCTGTGATAATACTAACAGAATTTCATTTCTTAACTTTCTACATCTATTAAATCTTCTCTTTAGAATATCATTAAGATATTAGCCAAGAATCCTGGATAAACAAAACACTGATTTACTAAATTATATATATATATAATTTATATATATATTTAATTGTGTGTGTGTGTGTGTATATATATATATATATATATTTTTTTTTTTTTTTTTTAAGCGACAGGATTTCGCCATTTTGCCTAGGCTGGTCTCAAACTCCCAGATTCAAGCACCCCACCTGCCTCAGCTTCCCATAGTGCTGGGATTACAGGTGTGAGCCACCACGCCTGGCCTCCAAATTATATTTAAAATAAATATTAACTTATTTTAGTATCAGCAGCACTTAAGTCATTAAGTCCCTATCTTGTTCCAGACTAAACTATTTATAAGAAAAGAATTAAATCAAGAAGCTTATGGGGGGAAAAAAAAATCCCAGCACCATAAGCAACAATGCTATTTTTTCTTGTAACACATTATTGGGTAAGAATGTTGTGTGTTTATGGAGGAGGGAGACTGTTTCTAAATATAAAAAGCACACCACTCACTACAGGCGAGGGGAAGGTTTCAAAAACTTATTCTTAAAGGGCCAGACAGTAAATATTTTATGCTATTGTACTGAAAAGTAGTTACAGATAATATACAGATGAAAAGCATAGCTGTGTTCTAGTAAACTTTACAAAAATAAGTAGGCTACACCATTGGTTATAGTTTGTCAGTCTCTACTAAGATAATTATTTAATAGAAAAAAGGTTTTTTTTGATCACAAAGAAGAAAAATCATCCATAATCCCACCCAAAATCATCCATAAACCCAGAGAAAAGCTGGTTGACATTTTGAGGGGATGTCCTTTAAGTATTTTTCCGTGTGTATGTATGTTTCTGTGTATTCAGTATAGTATCAACAGAAAACCTGGAATCACGCTTTATAATAAACAGTCATGTTAATGTTTTCTACGTGATTTTAATAGCTGTTTAAGATATGAATGCACGAGTACACCAATTTATCTAAATAATCATGTCAGACATTTGGGTTACTTCTGATTTGCAAGTACTCTAATTACTACCCTTTTTTAAAATTATTAATTTATGAAAAAAATTGTAATTCATTGTTGTTCATGCCTTAAAGGTTCTCAGTTGAAAATGTGAAATGACTATTTGTCTTTCTTCTTTTGCAAATTGCTCATTATTCTACTTTGCCTATTTTCTATCGGGCTATGAAGATTTTTAAAATACTAATTTGCAACTTGCTCTTAATATAGTAAGAACATTAATGCTCTCATAGATTGTAAATACCTTCCCCATTTCATTTAAATTTTAGGAATTTCTGTCTTGCTTTTTGTCAGAAGTTTTAAATTTTTATATATTTAAATTTATCAAACTTGTTGCCAGTGACTTATGACTATACTTCTTTATATTTATGCTTATAAAAGCCTTCCCTTTGCACAGATAAGAATACACATTCACATCATTTTCTTACTAGGCACTATAAAGCAGTGAGAAATTAATATAAACATCTTAATATACCTATGTACATACACACATATATACGGTCACAAATATACATAGTGTTCCTTTGACTCCATACTAGCTTCTTGATTCCCAGGGCCTTATTTCAAGCACAAATCATCTGTCACCTAAGCCACTGCATAGCTATCCTATTTCCATTCTCAGTGGCTTACTATCCATCCTCCACTCTGTTGCAATAACTAACATCTTCAAACCCGAAAATCTCAACATATTTGTCTTTTGCTTAAAATCCTTTCAATGGGAGGTCTCTGAGAAGTTACTGGTTATGGTGGTGGCAGAGTTTCCGAATGGCTGTCAATACTGTGAGTGCATGCGCGAGTGTGTGTGTGCGTGTACGTATGTGTGTGCATATGTGCATGTGTATGCAGAAAAGCAGGCCTGAGACTGCCTATCTTTAAAAAGTCCTGCACTCAGGGTTGGTCCTTGGCTAGCATCTGCGAACTTGGGTTTTGGAAGGGGTCCCACTGCCTTAACTGATAAGAATGGCCCACTCGCTCTGCCTAAACTTATTTGTGACAGATACGGTTTAAGGCTGAACCACAGCTGAATCCCTAATTTCCTTCTGGGACTTTGGAATTTTGGTATGTGCTAGGCAATGGGCTCCTAGATATAACCAACCTCCCCAGTAAAAACCCTGGGCACTGAGGCTCTAACAAGCTTCCCTGGTAGACAACATTTCATATATGTTGTCACAGTTTGATCCTGGAGGGGTTAAGCACATCCACTCTAGGAGAAGACTCTTGAAAGCTCACATATGGTTTCCTGTGGCCTTCACCCCATGCACTTTTCTCTTTGCTGGTTTTGCTACTTTGTATTCTTTCACTATAAAACAAATCATAGCCATGAGTATGACTAGACACAGAATCCTGTGAATCCTAGAGAATGACCAAATTTGGTCTTAGAAATCCCCAACACAGCGTGAGTGTGAGCGTGTGTGTGTGTGTGTGGGTGTGTGTTTTACAACAGATAATAAACTAGATGACCAAAAACTAAAATCCCACGGACAACATTCACAACAAATTAGATGATCAGGTATCCCCATGAACCCCCAAATACATGCTGAGAGGTCAAACAATTAACAGCCATAAGTCTTTCATGGTATTGGTGTCTCTGCAGAAGGAAGTAGAAGGAAATAACAAGGAGTCTGAGATCTGAGAACAGAAGCAGCCCATAATAGTCAAAAGGTATTCACAAAAAAGCATGTT